ATAAAACATATACAGGGTAAATTATTTAAAGGTAAAACTTCGTTTACTCTAAAATATTTATGTTAAATTTTTTTTTTTAGGATATTTTTTTAAATGTCAATCATAATATTATAAGCTAGTAGTTGTTAAATCCTAATTGTATTTCAAATTTACATGATAGGAGTATTAGACAATATTATTGAGTATACCAGTGTGCTACTTTCTCCTTTTAACACTTTAAATAATGTTTTTTTTAGTAAAATAGAAAATTTACAATCTCTATTATTATTATTATAATATTGAATAAGCAAATTTAATGTGCAAAAAGTTGTAGAGTTGGAGGTGGTGACGTAAAAAATTGGTTGTCCAGTGATAATTTTTCAATAATTCAAACTTGTCAGCTGGGGTATTTTTTACTTTTAAAACTTTAAACTAATACCATGGTAGGTATCGCGGTTATTAACCTGATACCGAACGCGGAGTCTCGAGTCACGGGCTCCAGTAGATCAACGCGCTACACAACCGACGTCCGCTCATCTCGACCAATCGGCATGTTCTGTTGTACACTCTCTCCAGTACACTTTTGTTTATAAATATCTTAAACTGTATTCACTTAGCGATACATGTTACCCATTAAGAATGCATCACGATTGACCAACTCCCCTAGTCACGACGACCGCATGTATTGATAATAAACACTTAAGTTACAACTTATTCATAGTAGGTGCCTACTACCTGTGAGTGTTTGTATCATGATCGCAATACCTTCTGTCCTTTTCACCCGTCCACTCGAAACAACCGTATCGCTTATATAGGCTATAGGTACCTAACCCTACTAAAACTCGATTTTTTTTGTATTCGTAAACAATTCTAAGAAAAATATTCCACTCAGGAATATGAAATTAAAAACGTTGGCAGTCTTTCAAAACATAGAAAACTAGAGATAACTTTTTTTTCTGAAAGTGTATGTTGTTTTGTATAGTAATTTAAATTTATCAATCTGCTGAAAATGCAACCAAAACAATTTCAAATCTAATAATAAACAACATAATATCGACAAATGACATTAAACCCTCCATCTCTAAAAAAATTTGGCAAGACTGTAGAACTTGAATTCGATACTTCCAAAAAACATTAAAAAAAAACAACTAAAAATGTCACGCACCTCTTCTTTCAATTGAAGTCAATACATAACGATCACCCGAGTCACAATTTACTGGACACACCTTCTCAACACATTCCCACCTAACCAATAAAGATCGACAACATATATGTGATAGGTATATACAGGGTGATTCACCAAGCATAATAACTCGCTTTTTTTCTTCAACAATGCTAATATTCAAAATCTGATTATTGGAATTTTTAAATATACTTCAAGGCCATATTTTAAAATTCTTGAGGTATTTTGAATTACTTAAGGAGTGTTCTGTGGAGAAACAAACTTCTGTTTGTCACACTAATGTTTCTTACACTATTTTTCAACTTAAATTATACAATGAATAATTTTTTGAATTTTTTGACATATCAGAATCAAAATTCGTACTGGTAGTTTTTGAGTTATTCAACTTTGTATTCTAAGAATAAAAGATCTACGGTAAGGGGTTTATAAGATATGGGGAGAGATCTGAAAATTATAGTAATTAATATTAATCTATCAATTTTAATAATTTATAGAAATGGCCTCAAGTAAATACTTGATTCAGTCTTACGTCCATTTTATAACTATGTAAAATCATTTTTAAGGACTATTATCCTTACTAAAAACACTTTAATATGTCATTAAGGAACTTATCATTTGAATTTTGAATTAGGTACAACAAATTGTTCAAAAAAATTATTTGCTACTTAAATAATTTACAGTAAAAAGGGGGAGGTTCTAATTTGAAAACAGATGTTTGTATCACTACAGGATACCCTTTAAGTAGTATAAAAAAATCCAAGAATTTGAAAATATTGTCTACTAGTATATTTAATAAATCCAAAAATCAAATTTTTAATAACTGCATTATTGAAGAAAAAAGAGTGTGATCACGCATGGTGAATCATCCTGTATATTTATACCACATTGTACACACAGTTAAACACATAATAGAAGACTAACTTAAATATACCACAATTCGTACAAATCATTCGTAACCAACATTATAGTAGAATCTCTCAATAAAGATCAAGGCAAAAAATAATACAATTTATGAACGAAATTAAAATCTTAAGCATAATATGACGGAAATGTAAAAACAACTGATTTTACCTTTTAATATACATTTTTGTGATATAAACTATAGCAAAAGTAATTAATACCTTTTGAATGCTAAAAAATATAAGCAAATGTAAGCACCAAAGTAACATTTTTAAGGGAAGGCTAATAATCATTGAAATTAAAGTCAACATTTAAAAAAAAAATTGTACCTATATCTTTATCCCCATACATTCTGCTCTATCCACCAGGGAAAACATGTCACTTATATAGTTATATGCTATATAATACCGAAAATTAAGTTAAATGTTTATATTACTGTAAGAAAAAATAATATGATTTGAAATATGAAATTAAAAATAAAAGCATGCTTAAAAAAAAAAAAATATACAGAAAAAACTTAGAATATTGTAACTACAAAACAATATTATATATTATTTTTTATAATGACTTCAAATTATTATCCGAAAAAAATACTTCAAAGAACGTTGAAACGTTGTGAAAACCAGTGGTTTCTTTTAAAAGAAACATCCTGTATATTATTATAAAAGTATGTACTAAATGCGTAGTTTAATCAGAAGAAATAAATGAGATTGAAAACGGTTGGGGGGGGGGAGGGTTACTTGCTTACGTTCCATTCGGGTAAATTAAAGTTTTTAATTACCTATAATATAGGCGGGCGCGTTTCGTTTTAATATTTTACCGTCGTTGACAAAAGGCATACGGGCGTAAAGCGCACGCGCACACAAATTATTATTGCTATTACCATTATTATTATTGTTGTTGTTGTTAGTGCACCATGAAAGTATAGCGGAGATTCCGCCGCTGCGCATGATCGTCAAGGAAAAATTTTTCCACACTCACACTACGCGTTGATTAAAAATATAACGTACGAAACATATACAAAAACAACCCTCTGAAAAAAAAATTGTTTTCCCTCTCTATTCTCGACGCTCATTGTTCACCTCTGACTTTCGATTCACTGCAGCAAGTATACGGCATTGTACGTGCGGTAATAATAATATACAATCGACATATATATATAATTTTCAGTACCTAATGAGTTTTTTCGGTCTCTCAAGTCCCGATAATGCGCCAGAACCGGCCCTCAGCTCTCCGCTCCAAACTCGACCACTCGAGTGATCGGCGAATCGTAAATCTCGAGGTTATCAGAGCTGCCGGCCTGCACGTTCACGATCGCCTTTGCCGGTCTGAAGGTCAAAACCGACTCGGAGAAGAGCTGATAATATGCCAGATAAAATTCATAAAAAATGAGATCTTATCCCGCCGAATTATATATTTCACGAGCCCGAAGTGGGTGGAAAATCCGTTCGATTGTTATCGGTCACGCCCGTGCGGCGAACTGCGAACTAACGACTTCCGCGCTCAAAGCTGCCACGTCGTTACATCTGTTTGCGGAAAATAATAATAATTAATTAAAACTAAACAAAAATATATATTCATAAAATTATATTATATTATAATATTATAAATAGATAACGATAAACAATTAGCGTTTTCTGCTGTTATTTATGGTTTTTTGGAAAACAAGTCGAGTTTCCGAAAAAAACGTCCATTTCAAAAATTAGAAATATAATAATATAATCGAATCAAATAAATAAATGCTTATAATAAAGATTTATGGGAACCAAAATTTATGGCTCAACACAATTTATATCGTGCTGTGGTTTTTTCACAGTTAATCCTGCCAAACATTCGAATTTTCTCCGAATTTCCTCAGTATTTGTAATAGTTCAAAACACAATTTACAAATTACATTCGTATTTTAAATTTAAGAAACAAAAATATAAGAATGTTTCCTTCCTTACCACCGAGTTACACCTTATATTTATATTGTTTTTTTGTTGTTTTATGTGTCGTATTTCTAGTAAGTACAATAATATATTTTAAAAATATTATTCACCCTAGAAAATTGGCAAAATAGAAGCGAGATAAAATTGGATTTTAAAGTATGAAGGATTGTCGCAAAACTTTCGTCGAAATTAAATTCAGTGTATAAGTATATTTGATGTTGTTATTTTGGGTGGTTCGTTTATTTTTTTCTTATTTTTTTTTCTCTTCTCTGACAACGGCACATTTCCAACCACGTCAACTCGGTCAACCTTAATCACGTACGGTGTTTCAACTAAAATTCAATACCACAAAGTCCGAGAATTCCGTGGGAAATATATTCCTTTTCAGACTTCTGAAATAAATAAAAAAACAAAACATAAATCCTTAACTCGCAGGGTAGGCTTATATTATGTCTTAAGAGGTAAACGTGGAATGGTGTATTATGGTCTCGCTTTCGTATTTGAAATCGATTGCTATTGAATTTATTATTTTATTTTTTTGTCGAATGGCTTCTTTAATGTTTTTTGATTTGTAGAGAAACAAAAGGGAATTTCAAAAGTTTGATATGTGAAGTGCAATTTATTTACAATCGAAATAATACTACAAGAAAATATCGGAAACGTTTTACTTAAAAAAAAATATATAATAATAATACAAATTGACAAATGGCTTTATAGATCCATGAAACTCCACATTTTCCAAAGTTAAAAATTAAATACTTTTATACATTTTATTTCAACTATATTTTTTACATATTGTTTACTTATTAGAAAAAAAACACATTACTTTTGTATCGCTATAGTATTATTTTATATTTTATAGCTAAAATTGGAATAATTTCCATGTTTACGTAGGTACACAATTTTATTATATTATTGATTTCGAGTTATTTGATATTATTGTCTTTTTCTCATTATCATTTTGATGTACCTTCTTATTCTTAGACATAGATCGTAATTTATTCAAAATGGAGAGTAGTAAAGCAGTAAACCATACGTCATACTATACCGAAAACGAAAAACACAAGAACCAGGATCTGAGCATCGGTAACTTTACGATTCGCGATCAAGGAATCGGTGAAGATATCGAAAACAGCCACGGAAGCGGTTCATTCGAAGACACAGATACACTGAAAGCCGACGTTAGGCGTTTGGATTGCACGGGAGGGGGTAATGGAGCATTTTGCAGAATCGTCGACAGAGACGTGAAATTCGGCGACCGGGGTGATGCAGGTGCAGGTAAAACGGATGAGGTGAAAATGAAACTCGCGGACGTCACTAAAAAATGTGGCCAAGTCGGTGGCACTGTCGGCAACAGTGTTAAAAAACGATCGTCCTGCAGGACGACATCCGATGCGATAAAAATCGACTGTCATTTGTTTAAAATTGAAATTTCCAACGTCGTTGCGGAACTCGTCACCGCCATGGACGGATGTCTGTGCCAATATATATGCAAGAAAGCAAACATTCAAAAGATGACCGTCTCGTTCACGTATGGGAAATCCAACGACCAGAAATTATTTATTTACGGCAGTGAGAAAGGGGTGAGGTACGCGATGAAACTATTGAAACGAATTATCATGTCGAAGAATGTACGAGGGTCCCGTGAAAAAAATACAGTGTTTGCTCGGCCCAATCAAGTGATAGAAGAATATGTTCCACAATAGTATTAGTCAGTTTAAATTACACAGATGACAGTTGTCATATTTAGGAAATAATCATTGTTATAAGTTGATAGGTATTATAATATTATACACGAGCCATAAAATATGTGCTATTTTTTGTATTAAAGTGTAGACTTATAATACCTGTTTGTAAGACCTAATATTATATTTGGAATTAAATGCTATTAATGAATATTATATTACTTATTATTGAACGATTTCACCTTTTTTAGGATACAATTTCTTTTGTAGATATTATTCTACAATTTAATATTGTCGTTTGTTGTAATATCACAGTGGTTTTCCGGCTTTCGTCGCCATGTTTTAATTATTACAATATGGGTAAAGTTAAATTCGTCTCTGATATATTGACGTGTGTTTGGCGTTGGCCCCGGTTTGACAGGTACCTACTCCAGTAAAAATCGATCAAAAGTGAACGATTTCGATACATATTATTGTCGTCCTTGAACAAAATATTATTATGTTTGCGTGGTGTATTTAACATTATTGTGTGTCGGTGTTGTGCATGCCAAGTTCCTACCACATTATTATTTTTTATAATAATAATATAGTATTATTATACTGGAATTCACACTTGGAAAGAACAACAAACAAATCTGTGATGATGGTGATAATAATAATAATATGTTATAGATGGTCGGTCGGTCCGGTAGCCTTACTTTGCCGTCCGACAATCGATGTGCAAAGAATATTATTGGGCGAAAAAAATACGCCACAAATCAAACGCCATTCCCCGAGGACGCGGACAGTTTAACGCTTTATTTATTTATCTATTTTGACAATGCCTTTTATGAATCCAAATAAATTTCACAATAAACCGACCAAACGGTCTTTTATAATATTATATTTCTTAAACAGTTTTCGGACCGGTGTCCGGCGATAGCTGCTAAAATCCTTTTTTATTTTTTCGTGAAAATGCGTGTATCGGTTCTACACGGTTTAAAAAACGATATGAGTCCAACGGAATAATATATTATATTGTTGTACTGCAAACTTATGCGATGGAAACAGCTATTTCTAGACCAGAAAACATTATAGTTACGATGAATAAAAAAATCGATTTGTTCACTTTAGATTTCTATGAATGCATCGAGGACACCGTCATGTCCATTGTATAAGCTCGAATTTCGCTACCATGGTTATCGAAACCACTTTATCGTCGATTTAGTAAAAAAAAAATGTGGAAACAATATTTCTTTGGATACTACCGTCTACCACTTGATTTAAATACTACACCTCTTTAAAGTTATCATCCTATTTCCAATAATCGTGTATTATAATAAACAACGTGTTTTTAACTGTTGTGCCGTATCTTATATTATGTTATATCATCCATGTCAAACAAATTAAATAATCTTTTATTATTTCGTTAACTATGGTTCTAAGACCAACAGGCAACAAGTATATTGTATACTATGTATAAGTGGAACACAGTAAAAGTTCGAACAGTATAACGTTATATAAACCAATATTTAAATTTTTAAGGTATACCTACTACACTTGCAACATTTATGCAGGAATAATAATATATAGTATATAAATTGGATTTAATTTTAGACTCACCAGTTATTCACCAGTTGTGTTAACAGATTTTTTTGTGATTTTTTTGAGATTTAATGCTATAATATGTGATTATATGCTAAAATGTTTAACATAAAATATAATTTGTTATACTTAGTCTAGTGTACTAATTATGTTCGGAATTGTTTTTATTTCAGTGGCAAAAAAAACCATAACCTGTTGTACAAAATAAGGCGTATCAAGTCGTTCATAATGCTTCAATAAAAATGGTCATTATAGTGATTGAAAAAATGCGGTGAGACTGCATATTGCACGTTTGATAATGTTTTACATCACAAAATTACGAGAACAACTAACATATTATTATTGTCCTCACTCCGACAGTATTTAAACGATCTAGATATTTGCTGTGACGATTTAAATTATCTCATTTTATTATTGCCGTTTAGCACCTAATGATTTAGTGGAGGTAAATTAAAATCAGCGGTAAGATTTATTGTACAGTGTTTCAAAAGTCTTCATCCGATTACGAACTGATATAGGTCGGCAACGGGTAATCGCAGGTTAATGACTAATGTATTAATGGAAAGATTAGATAACCAAGTTTATTTTAAGTTATCTAGTTGATAAATTTGGCACCGTAGTGGTTAGTGAACTAGGAATCATTAGTTTGTTTCGTTATGGCGACTTCGCAACAGAAAGCGTTTTGCGTCCTACGTTTCAATAAGTGCGAATAAGGTAATAACCGTTCAACTTGATTTTCGAAGAACATATGGAACTGAAGCTCCAACCGCTCAAAGCATTCGAAGTTGGCATCAAACGTTCCAAGAAAGTGGTTGTCTGTGTGCACAGAAACGCTCAGGTCGACCTCGTACCTTTGACGAAAAAATCGAGAGTGTTCTACAAACTTTCATTTGGAGTCCACAGAAGTTTACACGTTTTGCAGGCCTAGAGCTAGATCTCCCCACATGTCAAACGAATGCTTTGAGCAGTTGGAGATTCAATTTCATATGTTCTTTGAAAATCACGTTGAACGTTGATCTAATCTTTAAATTAATACATTGGTCTTTAACCTGGGATTAACCGTTGCGGAACTATATCAGTTCGTAATCGGATGAAGATTTTTGAAGCACTGTGATATACAAATTATATAATTTTAAATTATATTACAACTAGGTACTTTAAAAGTATAGTTTTACTCTACTAAATTTATATACTTCCACTGTATTTTATTCATGAAATATGCATTGCCTATAAATAAATAACTACATATTACAGTTATATTATTATACTTTTAAGTTTTTTCCCTTGAATTAGTTCTGCTAATGAACTTTCTTCAATCACGTTGTTCAGTTTAGTAAATGTAAATGTCAGCCTTATTATTCACAGTAAATATATTGTTAATTAACAAAAAAACATCTTTTTCTAAAAATCATTAAAGATTCCAACACTTTTTAACTGACCTCTCACAACAGCTATTGAATTTGAGATTTCTGAACGTGTAAAAACTATATGTTTTATTTGATATTTTCCAAAATTTGTTCAACCATGCTACAGAACCTTTTTGATTTTTGGTACCTACAGGTGGTTCAAAAAAAGATTCACCAGCCTCCTGAATATAAAAAAATTGTGATGATTATTTTTTTTTTGCCATCATTTAGAACGTTTTCTTAAAATTTGTTTGATAGAATTCAGGATTTTTTTTGACGTTTCTTCAGGAATAATTAAAAAAAAAAAATATATAAAAACTATAGGAGTAAATTACAAAGAAATCACATGTCATACATACTACATACACACGTTTATCTGTCTGTATGGATACTTAACAATTTTTCCAAAAGTCGTAATTTGAATAAAGTAAATATTAGAGGAAAATTTATTGTAGGTGCTCATGTTTGTTGAATCACTAAAGTCATGACGTTAATTACTAGACCGGATATATCAGTTATTGAGTATAAAAGTGAAATGCAAAACACGTCATTTTCAGCGGTTACCAATAATTATAGGTGCGATTCACCTGTAATGAATTTTGTTTCGAAGAATATATCCACATTCAATTTGCACGTGCTTCAAAACAAACAAAAGACTAATATTGTAATATTTTAATAATAACAACGCTCGCAGGTTTATTTAGACGATATTAAATTATATTACCGATGTGCATATTAAGCGAAAGGCAACTAACGTGGATATCAGTAATTGTGTTCGAAATAAACCAACAACAACCAGAGCAACCAGAAACTTCAAGTGATGCCTATAAGAGTATTCGCTTTACGTTTATAAATTAATAATAATTATACGTGAATTTTCTACAAAGACATTATAATTCTATTATAAACATCGATTTCAACAATGATAAACGAAAATACTTCGTGTTTGAAGTCGTATGCATCTGAGTACATTTATATAGGTACTTCGTACTATATCATATATAAATTAATTATGTTATGTAAGGTTTTAGACATATCGTATGGTCTTACAATAGTCTAAATCAGTAACTCGTTTATAACTGTTTGTTATTAGGTATAGCCAGTGGCGTAAATAGTGTTTGAAATTTGGGGAGGGGGCTGTAGCTCAGATCTGTACTTGATACTCTTTTGATGGTTTTAAACTATAGTTGTGAAATTATTAGTTTTGTGGGGAGCTAAGCTCCCCCAGCCTCCCCCTATTTGCACCTATAGGTAACTTATAATATTATACATTTAGTTTTTTATGAGTGTAAATTTTTTTTTTAAACTATAAAGTAGCCAGTTGATTGTCCTGATTTTTCTAAAATAAAAGTGAAATATTTAATTCTCATTACCTGATCATAAAAAAGGGGGTTTGAATTTTCAATATAAATTAGAGTATAAATTTAGAGTCAATTTAATTTTTTTGAATATATTCATCTGTACACACAATGTAATGTAAATTAAGAATGTATCTTTCGTTTGTTTTTAATCATTAGCACAATAATTTGTGACATATCAAATGACAAAGCAAGAGATGAATATTTTTTCAAAAATATAATGTGTATTTGATGATCAACAAATACAGTTAAATAACTATATAAAAATAAACAAACAATACAAATATGCATATTATATAAACATCATAGTATATTAAATTGGGATATTCGTGGTTTAATAATACTTTGAGATAGGTTAGCAAAATTAACCTTCAGACATGAGTTATTGATGACTTTTTCTCAAGGCAATTTATATCCAGTAGTATACATGATACCATAACTATACCATGGATATAATATATAAATAAATAAAATAATATATTATGTGCTCTTGACTAGTCTTGAGTGCCTATGCTAATATCAAACATAATAATATTGCATAAATAATATCATTGATTATAGATAGTATACTATATAATATTCATTAGTATATAATAACATGACGTATAATCAGTGGTACAACAATCCTTATTTTTATGTAGATACTAAATAAACGAATGAACTCCAGCCTTCG